ATTATTATTATTATTATTATTATTATTATTATTATTATTATTATTATATTCACAACAAAATATGTATCCAAAACAACACAGCAAACGAGATAACTATGCTGGGTTTCGTATCACAAATCACTAGTCAAACACCTCTCAAGTGTTTAGGACTGCATGATGTATCAATGGATTATGCAGGCAGATCCCAGTAAGGTGGCCTTCTGCAGCTCACCAATGGTGATTTTGTCAGCGCCAATTGTTTTTAAGTGCTTGCCGAGGTCTTTAGGCACAGCACCCAGTGTGCCAGGTACCACTGGAACCACCTGCACTAGTTTATTCCAGAGTCTCTGCAGTTTGATTTTCAAGTCCTGATATCTGGTGATTTTTTTCAAGTTGTTTCTTGTCGATTCTGTTGTCACCAGGTATGGTAATGTCGACGATCCACACTTTTTTCTTCTCCACAATTGTGATATCCGGGGTATTGTGTTCCAAAACTTTGTCAGTCTGTATTCGGAAGTCCCACAGTAGTTTTGCATGCTCATTTTCGACCACTTTTTCAGGCTTATGATCCCACCAGTTCTTTGCTACAGGCAAATTATTATTATTATTATTATTATTATTATTATTATTATTATTATTATTATTTAAAGTGATGTTTAATAGTATTTTTACATTTTCTTATTTCCTTCCTCCATATTTTTCAGCTTCTTTGATAAAATTAATCAGTCATATGCACAATGAAATGTACTACAGATCAATAAAATCCTACCGTTACATTCAATATTTTCCAGGAGAGGAGAGGGGAGGGGAGGGAAGGGGAGAGAAGAGCCATTACCTCCTTCCTAGGGCTGAGAGAAACTGACTGGCCCAAAGTCAGCCAGCTGGCTTTGTGCTTAAGCTAGAGCTTACCATCTCTCCATTTCTAGCGTGATGCCTTATCCAGTACATTTGCCTGGCTCTCTCAGTTCTGATGTCAAAACTGAATAGAATTTTAAAGTGAACATTCAGTTTGATACAGAAATCTTCTTTTATGTTCTGATTTAGAAAACATTCATTTAACTTGTTTAATGAACCTTACCTGCAGATGTTATTCTCTTTGCATATTTTCATTGTTCAGCAATATAGACTGACATGCCATTTAGCAAATATAAATGTAGTAAATTGATTCTGAATGAAGGGGATCTTTATTTTCAGTTTCCTAAAAACTGTCTACCTCCAGCATAAGCATTGTAATAATGGATTTCAAGTAACAGGACTTCATTCTGAGTACTCATTCCTCTTGACATCACTTATATCACAAATCATATTCAAAATAGGTTGGAATTTGGAAGATGTAATATCAGCTCAAATACTAACTTCCATTAAGAGTTCCTTTTTTAAAGACATGATGACCACTACTTTGGAAGCATTTGTGGCAAATCACTAAAATAGTTTGGATATGATTGAATTTTCAGTTTAGAAATCAATGTTCATTCTCTTTTTAACTCATGAATAACAGTGTCTCAAAAGAAAAGGAATTGTTCATACTCATAGTCTTCACCAACATGCTTCATCTATTTATGGATATATGCACATTAGTAAATTCTATGCAGTTTGAAGAGAAGTAATAGGAGCGAGAGTTAATTATAAATATACTGTACATAAACAAAAAGTTTCCAGTCACCAGGACTTTTGTTGCAACCTAAATTGTAACATTGGTATTTCAGCAACGTTCTTTTCCTATGACTATACCATTATTTACTGGTCTGGGCCATAAACCAAGAAATCAATCAATCAATCAATCATGCCAACATGTATCTGGGTCAATTGGATGTTGTGGAGTGAGAGGATAGAAAGTAAGCCTAGACATTGGAAAATCCAGGTATTAGGGGTCCAACTTAACAACTTTAAGACATGGCTGGCTGAGGAATTCTGGGAGTTGGAGTCCACAAGTCTTAAAGTTTCAAGTTGGAGATCCCTGGATTAGATAATAGGAGATTGAAGGATGGGAGGGATAAGCAGTACAACTGCAGTTGTTGGCTTAGAACTGTCCATATAGATTGTGAAAGCTTCTTGAAATAAGCTGATATATCCTAATTCAAAGAAAAAAGTTGAGTATTCTGTGTTTTCAGAAGCACCATGAGGTACCAGATAAACAACATCTTATTTGAGACCTTTCAGAAGCATTACTAAAATGTATTCTCTTACTGGATTAATAATGGTATATGAAAATCCCCAAAACAAGAAAATGTCAATATTCTAAAACTCTTAAAATGATAACTGTGAATCTGCCTTACAGTTTCAACCATCCTAAGAGGATATGAACTACAATGTTTCTCACAACTTTTGTATTGCAGATTCTAAGTGAGAAAGAAGCATTGCTGAAGAACATTTCCTCAGGTCAGGCAACAAAGGAATATCCGGCAGTTAGACATAAGCAGTTAAGCAGAAAAAGAGCCCTTCCATTTTTGTAGTTCAGTACTAAGGAGAAGAGAAAGAGGGATTCAGAAAAAGGGAATGTCTTTTAGAGAACTATCTCATGTTGCCTGATTTATTAACCTTGCCTGCAAAGGTGTTTACATACTTCTCAATGCTGAATTCTGCAAACAATAAGATACTACAAATCGTGCCAATTCTACAACTGTTCCAGAAAGTCAGGAGTTTTTTGTTGTTGCACAAAAGAAAACCAGTCCTCTATTTGGGGAGGGTTTTTTTTCTGGGAACTCCACTGGGTATATATAACTCATTATGATATATTTTTCTCTTTTTTTGAGGTTCCTCCATGGTAAAAATATCAGCTTGTTTGCCTTTCTTCTAAATCACCTGCTTTGGTATAAGCATCTCAGCCTTTGATAGCTTCTGGTAGGAAACTGAAAGGATGCACCTGAATCTTCCTCCTGATTTTTTTTTATCATGCTCCAGCTGTGGAAAGCTAACCCACATAAAACCTTGAGCTTTTCAATGTACTTTATTTAAAAAGTCAATGGAAAATGTGTGCTGGCTGGCAGAAAACCAAACAGAGAAAATAACTTTGATCACAAGCAACACAGTTCAAATAATGTTGTAAGAGTTACCCTGTGCATAGTCAATAAATAAATAAATAGTCTGACTAGCAAAAAATAGGCACCAATGAGAACATTGCATTGACAGTTTACTTCTAGAGGATAAAAAAAAACATGCTTGTGGCAGTATGTTTGCTTGTTGTTGTTTTTTTAAGTCTGATCTGGAAGCTTTCCTTAAACCCTACTACTTCCAAACCATTACAGTTTATTAGATTTTTACTTTGCTTTTTGTATCATGGTAGTCAGTCTTATCTCCCCTTTCCCTCCCTCATCACAACCCTCTTGTAATTATTTACCTGAAAGGCAGGGAGAAGGGAGGCAAGATGACCTTGGAATTTCCAGGGCTGAGGATGGACCAAAACCACAACCCTCCCAATACTGTCCAATGCCTTAACTAATAACTATGACACTTTAGTGGCTTTCTTACTGCCTATTGAAAATAGCAAAAACTCATCAAGAATAACAGAGTTGGAAGGTACCTGTGAGGTCTTCTAGTCCAACCCCCTGCTCAGGCAGGAAACCCTATACAATATCAATCTCTTATTAAAAATGTCCAGTGTTGTTCCAGTTGATGAAAACTGGAAATATCAGAATTTATATATTTGGACTGAAAATGTATTGTATGGTCGGTCTCCTAATAAGTTTGGATACATCTCACTGAATTCAGTAAAACATCTGACCAAACCTACAGAGGATGTTGTAGTTTAGTTTCCCATTCTATATATATTTAGCTGACAAAAACTACTACTGAAATTTCAGGATGTTACTCTGAAATTATCATATTTATACTGACAATGAAGAAGGAGCTATTGGCTGCCTTTTAAAAATCTATCAATTCTTATCTATAAACTATTATTTCTTCTCACCTTCCCTTCCATACAAATGACTCTCTGGGGGGGAATGTGGCTTTCTCTGTCACTTCACCTCATAAATACAACTAAAACTTCTTTCCAGTATAGAAGCAGAAACTTTAAAATAAAATATAATAGGGATAAAATTACGTGAGTTTCCTGAGAGCTAGAATCATTATCCATATTGTGAAATGGGTTTCACAGGACAGCCAATATAATATGAAAGAAAAGCAACATTCTAGAAGCTAAATTCAACTTCTCCAAAAATTCAAATTTATTTTGCCTATCTATCCCAGCAATTATCACTATACTGTTTTAAGACAGTGAAAATCAGTACATTGTAGATTAGGAAACAGGCAATTTCTGAAGGTATGTCAGGTGAACATTATTTACTGAAGTATTACTTTTGAGAATCTGAAATCACACTGAATTCAACCATTTTGTTCCACCTAGGAATATTTTCTTTTTTGTTCATTTGAAAAGGAATTTTTTGTTCTCGTGTCTAAAGAAACCTTACCTTACCCACACTAGTAAATTGGGTCCAAAGATTTGTAATCTTTGAAACAACTTTCAAGTTGCAACTTTCAAGTTTTTATACTTAGATAATAATAAGGATGCCCCCAGATAGTAGGAATTCGGTCATCATAATGGGACAAATTAATGTCATACCTGATTTATTATAATAATTCAAAGATAAAGATACCTCTTGCTTATAGATGCATGGCATACAGCCCACCTGCACCAATATATAAGTTATATAACAGTAATGTGTAGGCCATCCTTTTCTAAATATCCTGTTTAAAATGTCCTAAAAATGTGTTGCCAGCAGTCAATTAGCTTTAAGAGTTTGATGC